CCGTTATATCTTCATCAAATCTATTTCATTCTCTTCATCTTTTATGCTTCACTTCCATGGTATTTTTCTCATTCTGATGTTATTATATTATTTTGTTATTTTGTAATCTTCTTGTCTACTTTGATTTTCCAAAATAATGGCCAATGTTCAATGCACCAGATAATCGCTATTTGCTACCTAGATATCATTAAAAAATCGAATAAATTCAAAGCGGTATGCGCAAGAAATTTCAATTGGGCTGTTTTTTTATCTAATATCAATGTATTTTTTCTAGTGACTCTTCATTATAATGTAAATAAAGACTGTGATTTTTATTTTTTAAAGTTTGAAACTTTGAAAGTTTTCTTATACATATATAAATAATTTTTTACTGCACGGCTTGATATCTCACATATTAGCATGAACTTATTCGAGAAAATTTTTGCGTTGCACGTAATAATTTTATGAAATTGATACTTGAAATAAAATCATTTTGGCTATAATGCTGAATGAATGCACGTTTTCATAATGATGCATGATGAACAAATCTTTTTAAATATTTGCGAATTTTCCAAGCTTCTTTATTTAGATACGTTGTATATTATAAGCGAATTATTTCTTTTTCGTATTAAAATTTGATTTAAAAAAATCTTCCTTAAGTATTTTGCCAATTAATATTCGAGTTTTAATTAAATTTATAATAATTTACGAGGGTCATTCGATAAATCAGGTAAAAAAGCAATAAAATCACCTGTTTTCCGGAAAATTCTTTTTCACTTTTCGACGTAGTCTCCTTGGAGCTCTATACACTTAGTCCAGCAGTGTTTCAATTTTTTGATTCCTTCAGATTCCTTCGGAAAAGTAAAAAGTCTCAAGGCTTTCAAAATATGCATCTACAGCAGCGATGACTTCCTCATCAGACGAAAATTTCTTTCTCTCGAGCCAGATCTGGAGATTTGGGAATAGAAAGAAATCACAAGGGGCCAAATTAGGAGAATAGGGTGGATGGAGCAATTCGAATCTTTAATTCATGCAATTTTACTATTGCGACTTTGGAGGTATGAGCCGAAGCATTGTCATGGTGAAAGATGACTTTTTTGCGCGCCAATTTCGGCCGTTTCGTTTGCAGCTCTTCGTAAAACGATTCAGAAGTATAGAATAATATGCTCCTGTGACTGTTTGACTCTTTAAGTAGTCAATGAAGATGATTGGGAATCTCAAAAAACAGTGGCCATTATCTTCCCGATCAACAAAACAGTCTTTCATCGAGAGAATAGGCCTATCATCTCTCTGGAATACCGGTCGTGAAGATTTGAGAGAATACATGTATATATGTATATTGTAATATACGTATATATGTGTATCATTGTATTGTTGACGTGTTATTCTAAACACGTTATTTGCGATAAATATCATCATATGCTTCGGTAGTCGAAAGGATAAGATGCCTGCCCGGTAAGAAGATCCAGGTTCGATTCCTGGCTGAGGTGGTATTTTTTCACAAAATAATTACGAGTTTTCACGACTAGTTCGTGGTCGGGCCTCGTCGTGACGCACACCCTTCCTTCTTATTTCCCTTCGCTTTCTTCGGCGCACATTTCACCAGATGCTGTCCATTACTTCGACTGCTGTTTTGAACTGCGAAATGTCTTTTCGCATGCGGTTTTAATCGATGATCAACAATCGCGGCACCCATCGTGTAAAGTTTTCATTTCTATTCTTTGTGCAGGATATT